CAGACTAAAAAAGGCAGTTAAATATGAGTTAAATGTGAACCTAGTTGTTATCTATTAACTTAATGGAAGATAAGGGTATGATTTTGCAAAATATCCCAGACTGGGAAACATGGGAGGAATGTTGGAAGCAAAGTCTACAAGGCCTTGCCTAATGTTTCACCTTTTTTTTCATTCCACATGTGAAAGAAAACAGATTCACAAAGCTTCTCGTTGGATAATACTCTTTTATGGTAGCAACTACAACACACTAACAAACTTATTTTTGAATGTGGAATGCAGAAACTGCAGCTATTAAAAATAAGTTTGATGTCCAAAGTTGTACTACCAGAAAAAATTCAGAACATTCTCAAAATACTTCCAATTTGACATTTGAATTAATAATGGGATTATAACTGATGTAAAGAGGTTAGGTCACATGACCCAACATTTAAGTACATTACTCTAGGTCTCAGTATTTACTGGTGTGTTTTATGTCTTTGTGTGACACATTGAATGACACTCATTTTCCGTGCTAAATTACAGTCTGGATCACCCTGACACAAGTTGATTTAATCTTTAATCATAACTAATCTTAATCTTTAAAAATTGTAATCTTAAAAATCTTACATAGACTGTGCATTTTTTTTTTTTAAATTGTTGGGCCCATTCTCATGTTTCTTACCCTGAGCTTTTTAATTCAAGGCATTTTAACTTCTTGTTGACCTTGCAGGAAAGATTGCATATCAATTATTGTACAGTATCCTGAAATGTTGTTGCCCTATATAATGAAGTAATAAAAATCAAACTGCTAAATCCAAGTAAATTAAAAACCAAAGGTATTTATGAATGATACCAACAAAGTAACTGCTACTTTTGGAATTAGTAATGAAATCCTGTTATGACCATTTATTGTTTTTTATTACTACCATTTAAGGAAAAAGAAAAGGCAAGGAAGAAAACTAAAGCAATGACGGCAAAAGATTTAATAAGCCAAGCCCCCCCAAGCCATGGGGAAGATTTCATGGAGTTCCCTGTGGTAAGGAGACAGGTGATCATGTACTTTTGCCCATGGCTCAGGGGGTTGCTTGGAAGAAAGGGGGGTTTGTGGCTTGGCTGCGGTTCATTGGGCTTGTTTGCAGAATAAGTAGTGTGAGCAGGAGAGAGTTCTTGCAAAAAGAGTCTGAATCGTTCTGCTTGCTGAGATATTAGTTACAGCATAAATAAGGCAGCCAGGCTGGCTCAGCTGAAAGTGAAGACAAAGTGACAGTCAGCAATCAGAGAGCTAAAATTTAAAGGTGTAAGGAATAGGGCGTAAGAAAGACACAGTGACATTGGTGTTAATGAATAGACTTACAGAAACAAAGAAAACAACACAAAAGTTGCAAGATTTGTGTGGCACTTACGTACTTTATTTTGTATGATAAAAAGTGCTAAAACAGATAAATGACAAGAAAAGTTGTGACAGGATCACACAATCTCTCTGCCTGAACAACACAGAATATGGAGGCAGCCAGGTAAAACCTGGCAACGTGTACAGGTGTATTAATTGGAGGAAAGTCAGACTCAAGGCAGATCGTTACATGGAAAAGAAAAAACTAGTTAAATAATAGCTTATTACACCTTATTGAAAGACTGGGTATAAGCAATAAGAAATAATATAAACATGAAGCAGTAAATGACCTGGAGAACAAAATGTGATATTTGTATTATATAATAAATTAGTATTGCACACTGTAAAACTGGATGTCATATGGGCAGCACATTCATACATGTATTGTTTTAACCCCCAGCTCTAACAAGTGATTTAAGCAGAATACCATCTTCTACCTCCTTGGATAGTTGAACCTCGACACAGCTTCAGCAATGCTTGTGTCAGGCTCAGGTTCTACGCTCGGTGACTACAGTAGTTTAAGACACTTTTGCTTCCCTCCAGGTCTTCTGGCATTCCTCCCTGCCATTTGTATCACAGCACCCTATGTCCGCAATTATAAAGCTGCAATGGTTTGGGGTGTCACTCTTTCAAATGGATTCCAGAAATGACCCAGATGAAAAATCATCACTCTCCCTCTTCCTTCCCTATCCAAAAAAGTGCTGTTACTTTTCCCCAACAAATCAGTGCCCTGGTTTAGTCACAAGAACATCACCATGCACAATTATGCCAATGCAACATGGGAAGCATGTTAGTTTAGTTTCACACATGTACTTTCTACGGCAGCATTTGTTGGACCTTTTGGAATGACTGAGAGATGTGGTGATTATTGTAGCTTTAGAGACCCTGATGATTTTGCAGTTGTTGCTCTGATGAGAACTAGTTTGATTTTGTGTTTGCTGATCCATAGAAAATTCACTTTTGGATGGTTAGATGGAAACCAGGAACGAGAGGGAGTTTTTCTGATCTTCTTCCAGAGTAAGCTACCATTGTTTAGGAACTTTTCTGCATAAATTGCATTACAGGATGAAATACAGCAAAGAGCAATGTATGCTCAAGGGAATTTCCTTTTCTTACAGTAACAAGTAAATTACAATATCGTGACTTATTCAAAGAAGTGAGCTACTTTTTGTACAGTAGTCTTTTTACTGAAGTAATATTTACAGAAGATGAAGGATGTTTCAAGTATTCTTTTCAGAGCAGATACCTGGGCCTAGTCATCTACTACAACTGTGTGTGTGTCATGACGCTCCTGCAGCATCCTGCTGCTGGAGATTCAATCAAACATGACACATTTATCTTCTGAAATTCCATTTTGATATTCTTCGACAAATGTCTCTATATATTTAAGCTAAGCAGGTCTTCTCATGCTCATAACAGTAGCATTTAAAGTCTGACAGAAGTGCCAGTCTAAGCAGTTAAAATTAACACTGTTGAGCTGATGACATGGCATTTGCTTTTAGATATGCAGAGACAGTGATGTGTATGGCACCACTTAATGTTCCTCCACACAAGAGTTAGGGCCAGTCTTAAGACTTCATGTACCATGGATCTCACTCTTGTCTCTGACAAGGTTCAGCAAGCTGCCATTGTATTGATCTTCTAATGCACTTCTCTACTGAATAGAAACCAATCTTCTAAAACAATATCAAAACCACTAATAATAGATGATATTCAAGGTCTTTTCCAACCTAGATGATTCTGTGATTCTGTGATAAAAGTGGAATACCGGAAAAGCATGTGTCTATTAATACTCAGTTATTACAGTTAATACAGTAAATCAATAGTTTTAATACCTAAAAATAAAGCCGTAATAACACCGCACCACATATAAAATAAAATTTAATGTGAGATAGTAACAAGACATAAAGATACAGTACATTTTTGCTACATAAACCCAAGTTCATGTCCATAGGGACCCTCTATATTGCAGTCAGCTGAAGCTTCAAATTTAAGCCATCTATGTATATAGTGGTTCAATGCTGTATTTTTATAGCTGGTTTTACACTCTGTTCAATAAAATAAATGACATACATCAAGTTACATAGCTGCTACTGGCAATTCAGAAACAATTTTGTGACAAAATGCATCATTCAGTCTATCCATCTATCTGATACCCATTGCAATAACTTCCATCAAAATATTACCGAAAAACCTCTGTTTCAGACCTGAAGGAGTAGAATTTCTCTCTCTCCTATGGAAGCACCTGCTGGGAAATTCTTTCATCTATGCTCTGCATCAAAGTGACAATCAGGAAATTCCATGATGTGGCTATAGATGGTTGTTGTGTGTACTGTAATCTACTGTATATAGAAATGTTCCTGTTCGACTTTTAGCAAGACTGGAGGCTAGAGTAAGCTCTTTCTGTTTAAGAGAACGTTGAAGTAAACCTGTGGTTTTGTTATTACTATCACTTACTTGGATCACTACTTCATTGATTAACCAATAATTTTCTATTTCTAGCTCTGGTGTTTACACCTCAACTGACTTAGGCTTTTTATATTTATGATACAAAGGTACTGATACGGAAACCTGCAGTGTTTGGAAGCTGTTTGCCTTGTGACTGAAGTGAAGGAAGTGATGAGGTCCATTCCCTCAGCCTAAAGGATAAACTCTACTTGACCATGAGCTGTGCTGGATGAACAAAATAACTAGTCTCTGTTTTTTACTTAACTACAAGTTATTACTGAAACAAAATGAAGTTATCAATAAAGCCTATTGCGTAAAAACCATGGTGCAAGTATAGTGACTGAGACGAAATTGTATTTGGGGAAGGGGTGGGGGGAGCAGTTCTGTTTCTCCTTTTTTTTTTCACCCTATGGAAGTCTGGATAAACTCAACACACGTTAGCAAGAGAGACCGGGATTCTTACGCAACCAGATCCTGCTGCCCTCTCAGGTGCACCCAGGCACGTCCTGGCCAGCTGCCAGCCTCCTGGCACACATCTTCCCATGGCTGAGAGCATTCTGCAGAGGAATGGAGACATCACTGATCTGACCGTAACTATCACCGAGCAACTTGAGATAACCAAGGTTAGTTGCTGAAGCAAGAAAGAACAGCTACTTGACGAGACGCTTGTATTACCGACTTTTAAAATACCTTTTCCGTGCAATGGGCTTGAGAGAAAACTACTAATGGAGCGTCTAAATTATCACGTATGAATGCAGCAAAGTTGAAAGCGCAAGTGTAGTCAGACCTTCGGGCAGCGTGGAGAACTGTTGGGTCTGCCAGCCCTGACTCCCATATCCAACTGTTCTGCACTAAAAGCAGCTCAAGTACGACGAGATCCGCGCGTGGCTGCGCTCGGCGGAAGGGCTGTACCGGCTGAGAAGAGGAGAGGGGCAGCACCACCGCTGAAAAGGGGGCACGGGCGGCGCAGGCCCTTCCCCCCTGTGTCCCGCCAAAGGCCTGTCTCTTATACACAT